ATGTGGAATTGTTCAAGAAACTTTTGGACGATTTCTTAAGGGACCGTAATATACAGGGGTACGGGTACTCCTAGAATGAGATCCTAATAGGTTGGACTTGATGGACTAATGTCTTTATTCAACCTCAAATACTATGTAACTATGTAACTATGTAATAAAATAAATAATTAAGCATATCATGTAATATATAATACATTTCATTTTATAATTCAATGTAGATAAATGTCTTTATTATTTGCTAAAAGTGCCTGAGTGCTGGATAGGATAGCACTAGGCTGTATGAACATACCACAGACACTTCTCCTCTGGACTGACTGACAAGACGGGCAAATACAGACACAGGCAGATACTGATCACTCAGAACTGAGTGATCTGATTGGCTGGTCGCGTGTTGCCGCTTTGTGATGCCTTCATTGCATCGCGCGCAGTGATTGGCTGGAGATGAACTTTTTCATTTCACGAAGCTGCGCTACGCACGCTGTCGCCGGGCAGAGTGGGGATCGGAACTCACTAGACACACTGCAGGCGAAGGACCGCGAGTCGCCGCTCACCTGTGCGCCGCGCTGCTTCGCCTGCAGTGTGTCACGGCCTTAAACCTCTCGTCCATGGAAAGTCGCACACGTTCCTTGGGCGGCCCGCTACCATTTGATCCACGGACCGGTACCGGTCCGCGGCCTGGGGGTTGGGGACCACTGCTCTAGACCAATAGTCTAAACAGGGCCACATCTATATCCATACGTAGAGTTGAGGACCATATCCAACTCAATACCCCTACCATACCCTGCCCAGGCTGCACAAAGCACTCAACGTCTCTACATTGTGGGGAAAAGCCTGCTTGGCTATCCTGTTCTTTTTGCAAACCCCAGCACAAGCCTAGTGCATGGTAATGGTGATTTCACCAGCTGTCCCTCCTGTAGACAGAGCCCTCTCGTGCCTAGTAATCATGCCTTCACATGTTCTCCTTGCACTCACTTTCTTTACAGTCCAGCCGAGAGCCCACTAGGGTGCTTGGCTATACTGCTTTCACCTGATCTCATCGCTGTACAGCACAGCAAAGAGCACTCCCTGAAATTTGCCTATTGGGTCATAACCTGTCCCCTCTGACCTAACCGGTCAGATTAAAAACAATGCTGATGACTGACATCCTCCATCTGATCACATCAGTCACCCACATGTCAATATGCGTTACCTGGTTAGTGTCAAACAGCTCTCTGCGCTTCTACACCACCTCAGCACCAGGGACGAAACATGTCCCATGTTCTGACATGCTTAGCCATTCGCTGGCGCTCTCTCCACAGACACACCCACAGAATTGCTGTGTAATGTTTCTCAAAGTAGAAGGAACAAGGGGCACAAAATAGGTTCAATGGGCCAACTGGACAGCCCTGCTCAAAATTGCTGATGATTACAGAGGACTTTGAGGTCTGTGGGACCCCAGAAAAGCCACTGAG